TTGTTGGGCTTTAGGGGAAAGAGAGAGGAGAGGCTGCCCTCCCCCCAATGCTTAGTTCGAATTGGACTAAGGGAAGGGGCGGCGCCCCCTCCTTCCTTCTCTTCTCTTTCCCTTTCCGTCTCTCCTACTCCTACTACTTGGAAGGGCTCTTAGTTCTACTAGAAAAGGGGGAATTCTACTCCCGGTGGGAGTAGGACTCCCCTAGGGTGCGCCATAGAGAGGTTCGGCCCTCCCCCTCCTCCACTCCTTTATATACGGGGAGGGGGGCACCCCTTGGAGACACAACATTTTATCTTTGATCTCTTAGCCGTGTGCGATGCCCCCTCCATCATAATCCACCTCGATCATATCGTAGCGGTGCTTAGGCGAAGCCCTGCGTCGGTAGCATCATCATCATCTTCACCATGCCGTCGTCCTGAAGAAACTCTCCTGTGAAGCTTTGCTGGATCGGAGCTCACGGGACATCATCGAGTTGAACGTATGCAGAACTCGGAGGTGCCGTGCGTTCAGTACTTGGATCAGTTGGATCGTGAAGACGTACGACTACATCAACCGCGTTGTGCTAACGCTTCCGCATTCGGTCTACAAGGGTACATGGACACACTCTCCCCTCTCGTTGCTATGCATCATCATGATCTTGTGTGTGCGTAGGAACTTTTTTGAAATTACTACGTTCCCCAACATGCCTTTATATTGGCTCTTAGAGCATCTCCAGCCGCGGCCCCAACAGGCCCTTCCCAGGTGTTTTTGCCGCGCCGGCGCCCAAAATTCGGCCCAGTCGCGCCCCAGTAGCCCCTTTTTCGCCGTCTCACACCAAAACTGGTGCCGGCGGACCCAGGACGAACCCGGCGCGCTGGGGCGCGCCTGGGGGCGCCAACACAAGCGAAAAGAGTGTGGGGCCGCTCTGTCGGCGAGTCGAGAGCCTCTTCCCGCCGTTTCTTCCCGTCCTCGCCCCCACTTCCCTCTCATTCTCTCCTTTCCTCCCGCCAATCTCCCTCCCGCTCGCCTCCCAGCCGCCGCCATGTCGTCGAAGAAGTACGTGATCCCCCGCGCCGCGACCACCGCGACCGCCTCCGTCGCCTAGCCGAAGCAGAGGAAGCCGAGGGCGCTGCCGTCCAAGCCACCGGACATGACAAACGCCGAGTGGAGGGCGGAAGTTCAGCGACGGGAGGCTGTCACCACCGACCGGCGGAATAGGGCAATCGCCAAGAAGGCCCGTGACAACACGGCGCGTGCCGCTGCGGTTGCGGCAGGCCAAGCCGAGGCCGAGGCGACTCGCTTGGGGATGATGAATCCACCAGGCGGCCACGCCCAGTACGTACCCTGGAGCCAGCAAAGCGCCGGCTCTCCGTCCGGCTTCTCGTCGTTGCCGCAACCATGGGGATGCACGCCGTCGCCGGCCTACGCCGACGGGGACACGCACGATGGGTTCAACCCCAACGTCACCTTCCCCCATGGACACCCAACCCAGCACACACCCTCGCCCGCCTTCGCCGGCGTGCAGTACCCTCCATACAACTACTCACCGCCGGCTTACGCGTGCTCCCCGACGCCCTCTCTCTGCCGTGGCGCGCTGCCCTTCTCACAAGCTTCCACGTCGCACCTCGCCGACATGGACGACATCACCGCAGCAGGTTCGGCCGCGGCCGCCACGTCCCCCGGGTTCGCTACCCAGGACGACACGGTGGACCTCAGCGGCGGCATGGATGGCGAGCTCGAGTACGGCGAGGAGGAGCCGAAGGAGCACGAGGAGGAGGAGGAGGAGCCGGCGACTGTTCCGGCGAGGAGGCGCAAGAAGAAGGGGGCGGCTAGGACCGGCGAGCCGCGCATTAAGTGAACGTCCAAGGAATAGGAATGCCTCGCCGAAGTGTGGAAAGTCGTCTGCCTCGACCCGACCACCGGCACGAACCAGAGCATCGAGACGTACTGGGAGCGCATCAAGGCCGAGTTCAACGAGCGCAAGCTCGTCGACCCCTACTTTAAAGGCGTCTACATGCATCGCGGGGCGAAGGCAATGGTGAACCATTGGGGGCTCATCCAGGCGGCGTGCAACAAATGGCATGGAATCGTCGAGGAGATCGTGGCTCGCCCAGAGAGCGGCGCCAACGTCGAGGATCAGGTACGGCATGCAGGTCTCCCGCTTCTATTCGCCGTGCACGCCCGCCAACTATTTGTTCCTCCGCGTAGCTGGTGCGCATGTTCGCCTTGTATCGCCTAGGCAACTGCAACCAAGAGTTCAAATACCTCCACGTTTACAAGCGCATTGACAAGTGTGAGAAGTGGGCGGAAGTCCGGCGCACCCTCGACAAGGCCAAGGAGACCTACAAGCCGGACGCACCGACGCCGGGCGCGTCAGAGGGGTGGCCGGACAGTAACAAAGGGGCCAAGAAGGCGAAACACGTCGACGCGGCTACCGCGCGGGTGCAGGAGTCCATCGAGCATTGCCTCACCGATGGACAGGCCCGGGCCGTCCTGTGTGAAGAGAAGACCGAGGCGCGGTGCTCGGCGTTGATGACGAGCAGCGCCGTCAAGCTCGACCTACTCCGGACCAACGTCGCCGCGAAGAAGAGGAACATCGACCTGGCTTTCCTGCTGGGCGGGGCAGACATGCTCCAGAGCAACGACGAGGCAGTCAAGGCGTGGTACTTGGCGGAGCGTGGTCTCATCCTGAACCAGCTGCCGCCGACGGCGCTGCCAACTCCCACGCCCGCGCCGACGCCGCCGCCAAGTCCGAGCGATGATGCCTCCACGAGTCCCCACAGTACAGAAGCCACGCCGACGCCGCCCAGCACAGAAGCCACGCCGACGCCGCCCAACACAGAAGAAGCTCCGACCCCGCCAAGCCCGCGCACGCTGACTCTGCCGACGCCGGAGGCCGACCTCGTCGTCTAATGCGCTGCACGCGTGCCCTTTCTTTTTGAACGCCGAACTTTTCATTCGATCGCCGAACCGTGGCCGCATGATCGCCGGATTTGTGGCGTCTATTTTGTGAGAGGGAATGACTACGTTTGAATTTGCAGCGGGTTGGGGGGCGCCTGGGGGCGTGGCTGGAAGCTAGTTCGCCCCAGGGGCCGATCTAGCACCGGTTCGCCCCCAGGCCGCTTTTTGTCGGCGCCCTGGGGGCTGAATGGCTGGAGATGCTCTTAGAGTATAAACTACAGTGTCATATGGATATACATGTCCCATGAGAAAATGTAATACGAGGCATCTACATTGATTTTTTTCTTCCCAACACACGTATGCCATGCATCTCTACTCTTCGCTCCAATTTTTGCAGCTTTATGCACCAGAACACACTTTTCGTTGCACCTTCCGAACATATTTCTCTTCACATCCGATCCTACATACTTAGGCAGTATTCGGAAACGCTCCGCTCCTCAACTCAGCTCCCGGAGCGGGCGGAGCTGTAGTTGGAAATCATGGAGCTGCACTTTCCTCGCTCCCGAGATTCTTGGAGTGGGTGGGTTCCCGAACAGGGCCTTAGGGGCATCACCCTAGCTTTATGCAGCCCCAAATTCTTTGCAAAAAAGAAAAAAGAAAAAACAGAGAGAAAAAAACAGCCCCCGCTTCCAGGGCAGCTATCCAACCCTTGAGCCCTTTCTCTAGAAGTTCCAAATTCGTGGGCTCGGATTCAACCATCGTCCCTGCCCGAATCCTGCCCAGACCCCGTGGAGTCACTCGTAGTGTCATGGCGTCGCCTAGCGGCAGCAGCCGCTCCTCCAAAATCCCGGAGTTCCCGGCGGGTTCCGGCGGCCGGCCGGTGCCGGCCCTGGGGATCGGCACGGCGTCGTTCCCGTTCGTGGCAGAGGACGTCAAGAACGCCGTGCTCGCCGCATTGGAGCTCGGCTACCGCCACCTCGACACGGCCTCGGTTTACCCCTCCGAGCACCTCGTCGGCGAGGCAGTGGCGGAGGCGGCGCGGCGCGGGGTCATAGCGTCCCGCGAGGAGGTGTTCGTGACGACCAAGGTGTGGTGCACGCAGTGCCACCCGGATCTCGTGCTCCCTTCCCTCAAGGAAAGCTTGCAGTTAAGCCGTCTTGGGTTCATTCCTTGAACTTTACTTTTCAGTTTTATTAATTCTTATTGCTCGCCTGAATTTTTTTTGTAGAGCCCAGTTACTTACGGCCACACATCATTCAGTTTCAGTATAGACATTGTGCAATTTAGTACTCCCTCCGTCCCAAAATGTAAGACGGTTTTTGACACTATCATAGTATCAAAAAAAACATCTTACATTTTGGGATGGAGGGAGTAAAACTTAACTGCAATTTCTAGTTTGTAAGTTATGTCCAGACTCCAGAGTTGGGTCAAAATGAGGATAATTGGCTATTGGTCCAGCTGCTTTGAGGGGTAATTGAGATTCAATAGCAATTTCTAGCAACCTAGAATGAACTCTCAGACGGCATGTCTGTCCAGTATTATCATTAAGCTTACCATACAACTCTTTCCATTTCAAAATTGAAATTTCAAAAAGCAAACTAACTTTATATTTTAAAACTAGTAGCAGTTGACAACGTGAAATGAAATCAGCTCTGAATTAGATGTATGCTATCGGAGATCACATGTCCTATGCGGGATTTATAACCATTTCAAATGTTAATTATTATTTTTCCTTGAAACTATGCAAGTATGCAGAATCTAGTTATATATTCAGATTGCAACTTCATACCTTACTCTATGACTTTATATAAAAATGGACAATCATATATGAGATTTGATCCTTCATCACATTTTCTTCTCACCGTGTGATTTTAATTGAGTGTATGTAAATGTACCAACAAAAGAGTACCAATGACAATTTTAAAAATAAACTTGGGTAACTGACAGACAACACATGAATTATAGTATTTAGTCATATAGTTTGTTCGCAATCAAAACTTATGTAGTATAGTCTTTACTTGACATTCGCTTCAAGAATCGAAGACTATTACTGTACTGGTACAGAAGCTTGTTTCCCTTATAGATGTATTCTGCCACTTCTGTGCTAAGCTTGTCTTGCCATGCCTAGAAACCTTCAAATGGAATATGTTGATTTGTACTTGGTCCACTGGCCTATGAGCGTAAAGCCCAGCAAACCACACTTCCCAATGAAAAGGGAAGACATCGTACAGATGGACTTGAAAGGTGTATGGCAGGCAATGGAGGAATGTCATCGCCTTGGCCTTGCTAAAATGATTGGTGTTAGCAATTTCACAACGAAGAAATTGCAGGAGCTACTTGCAATTGCAGAAATCCCCCCAGCAGTGAATCAGGTTTGTGTTGATCAATCGTACAAGTAATGGTGATGCAACCTTCTCTTGTCTATTCTATGATTTCACGAACCAAAGAAGAAGTAGAAGCTGATTTAGTTTAAAATCCTTCTGTAAAAACTTGCCCCGGTCTACCCTAAATTGTTGTCATTGTTCTTTGATGCATGGGATAACCTTTCAGGTTGAGTTGAATCCAGCTTGGCAGCAGAAAAAACTGATTGAATTCTGCAAAGAGAAAGGAATTCATGTGACTGCTTATTCTCCCCTGGGAGGCCAAAGCAGGACATCCAAAATCAATGCCGTGCTACAGTCTGAAATTCTGAAAGAGATTGCCGAAGCTAGAGGAAAATCCATAGCTCAGGTATTAATCATCGCTTCAATCTTAGGAACTGTTTGGTATGTACCAGAATCTGCCTTGTCACCAATTCGTGCAAGGTTCTAGCATCATCCATGATTGGAAATGAGGTTTGTTTAGATTATGAACTAATAAGTGCAGAATGTGAACAAATATTTGTCAAATTTTGTGAACAACCTAAATGCAAGCAATGCTGAGTCAATCGCACCTGAATGTTACAGCGTATGGGTCCCCTCTATGGCATTACAGTAAGCAAAAATTGCACCTCGATATTAGCAGTGCAATTGACTCCCATTTTCCTGCAGATCTCACTGAGATGGATCTTCGAGCAAGGAGCGAGCATGGTAGCCAAGAGTATGAAAAAGGAGAGGCTTCAGGAGAACCTCGAAATCTTTGACTGGGAACTGACCGACGAAGACCGGTTCTAGATTACCCAGATACCGCAGTACAAGAAGGTCACGGTGTTGGCGATCCTCTGCCCTGAAGGTGTCCCTGGCGTCGATCTTTCAGAGGTTGATGTTGTTGAAACGTAGATGTCAAATTATGAAGATGCATGCGCCATTTAAACCTGTAATTTGGTGAAGATGCATGCGCCATTTATGCACTCCAAATTACAAAGATTTGGTGAGATGCTTATGGTGCTACTACCTGTAACCTACCTGGATGAGGTCCTGCTTGGCGTCATCAATTGTGATGATCCTGACGGGTTCCCTACAGTGCTTGTGGGTAGCCGTCAGTCGTCACTCACTGTGTCACAAATGGACTTGGCCACATGCCACAACATCTTCGGTTGGCTGATCTTTCCTTGTCTCGCGCCAGCATCATCTTCTCTTCTCTCCAGGAAGAAAGAAAGACTTTTCGCGAATAAGGAAGAAAGAAAGACTAGCACTAGTTGCTCCTAGAAAATCGACGAAATTTAAGCTTGGATGGATAGTAGAAGGCTCCTGCTTGTCCCACAGGCAAGCCAAATTTCTTGTGGCGAGCGCGACAAGTCAAGAACTGAGGTGGGTCCTGGTTAGGAGATGGATGTATCATTTATGACAGACATGTGGGTCTCATAGCTTTTTTTTGTATATGTGTGAGGAAGAACTGGGCCTGAGAATTACTAAGAAAGTATGGCGGAGAACGAAGCGTATGGTAAGAGAAATTGTCTAGCACTACTCTAGCTCAGCTTTGTCCATGATCTTCTAAAAAAAGATGACGATAACTGCCACATGCGTGGGCGTTAAGGGATTTGTTCACATGTTTTGTATGATGTCTAAGAGGACTAACCCACACGTAGGCGTATGAGCAAAACAATCAATGTCCACACGCTTCTTTTTTCCTTGCGGTTTCTCTCACACATCTACGTGCGGGCAAAATGCATAACGCCCACATGACCTCTCTTAGCCACCTATCTCACGGTCCCGCACGCCCCGTGTGACAGTCACCACGCGTCCCCGTAGTTGCCATGGTCCGGACCCTCTTCAATGTCCGTTTAACTGCAGTTGCCATGTCGCTGAACTACAGTTGCCATGGTTGCTCAACTGCAGTTGCCATCTCAGATCAAGTGTCAGATGCCATTTTGGACAACTGCAGCTGTTGCTATGTATGGTCTGATTTACTATAGTTGTCATGATTTGGAAACTTTAGAGGTTGCCATCTAATAACACTAAGCAGTTGCCATGCATGGTCTAATTTACTACAGTTGCCATGATTTGAAAACCTTAAGAGTTGCCATCTACTAACACTAGGCACTTGTCGTGTAGCGCTACAAAGAGACATAGCAAGACAACATGTTCGGGTAAAAAGGAGAGTTGCCATCTGCTTACAAGCACACTAGGGTAGTTGCCGTGTACCCTGCAAAACACATGGCAACTAACATGTTCGGGTAAAAAAAGAGTTGCCATCTGCTTACAAGCACACTAGGGCAGTTGCCATGCACACTGCAAAACGCATGGCAACTGACAGCTTGGGTGTGGGAGAGAAGACCGGCGTGTGGGCGAGATAGCAAATGCCCACACACCAGCCCTTATGCGTGAGTGAAAACTGGCGTGTGGGCGAACTGCTAAACGCCCACACATCGGCCCCTCCGTGTGATGAAACGGACATGTGGGCGATCGGATGAACGCCCACACACCAATCTAGTCCTACGTGACACCACAAACATGCCAAAATTCATGCACCCAAGAACGGACGCGGATCCACGCGTGTGGACGAGATGCAAACTCACACACGTTAAAAAAAAAGTTTGCCCATGACCTTCTCAAAAAACAATTGTCCAGGTGTTGTGGTGGCTTAGGAGTAGTTCACAACTATCTCCGCCGCACAAGGATCCTGTTTCATTCCAGAAACAATTCATGCCCGCCGGAAGAACCAAAATCCACCTCTCTGCCTTTGAAAAACGGACGAACAGCTACGTAAGTCCTTATGTCACTCGGGCCAGTATAAAAGCCGGTGGCTCGTCCTGTACTTGAACCACAAGACAAGACAGGCTCAATCGCTCTGCAGAGACGACGCATGGCCTCGACGACAGCGGCGGTGCCGGAGGTGGCGCTGCGGTCCGGCGGCGCGAGGCCCATGCCGGCGATCGGCATGGGCACCGCCACGTTCCCGGTGGTGCCGGAGACCACCGTGAAGGCCGTGCTGGAGGCGGTGGAGGTGGGCTACCGCCACTTCGACACGGCCGCCATGTACGCGACGGAGCGGCCCCTGGGCGAGGCCCTCGCGGAGGCGGTGCGCCGCGGGCTCCTGGCGTCCCGGGAGGAGGTGTTCGTCACGTCCAAGCTCTGGTGCACGCAGTGCCACCCGCACCTCGTGCTCCCGTCCCTCCGGGAGAGCCTCCAGTAAGCTCGGTCGATCTAGACTTACTTTTGCCCGTTGACTTCAGTAGATCTTGATCGATCGTCTCGGTGTTTGTGCTTCGTTTCTTCAGGAACCTGCAGATGGAGTACGTGGACCTGTACCTGATCCACTGGCCGATCAGCCTCAAGCCCGGGCCGACGGTGTTCCCGGTGAAGCGGGAGGACGCCGTCCCGTTCGACTTCGAGGGCGTGTGGCGGGCCATGGAGGAGTGCCACCGCCTCGGGCTCGCCAAGGCCATCGGCGTCAGCAACTTCACCACCAGCCACCTCGACAAGCTCCTCGCCGCTGCCACCGTCCATCCTGCAGTCAACCAGGTTGCTGAACATAATACCACGAGATTACTGAGTAGCACTGTCTGAATATTCACTGGAACTCAGCGCTAGCTGCGTGTGATGTGCAGGTGGAGCTGAACCCGGTCTGGCAGCAGAGGAAGCTGAGGGGGTACTGCGCCGAGAAGGGCATCCACGTGGCAGCCTACTCGCCGTTGGGAGGGCAGAACTGGAACGGCGACGGAAACGCCGTGCTGGACTCCGAGGTGCTCGCGGAGATCGCCAAGGCTAGAGGAAAGACCATCGCACAGGTAGGGTACACGCCCCGTTTCTCCTGGCAACTGCTAGGAACAATGGAGCATGCAGTTCGTATGGCACTAACCGATTCCTCTTTCTTCTCGTTCAGGTAGCGCTGAGGTGGATCTACGAGCAAGGGGTGACCCCGATCGTCAAGAGCTTCAGCAAGGAGAGGCTCAAGGAGAACCTCGGGATCTTCGACTGGTGGCTCGCCGACGACGACCTGCGCAAGATCGGCCAGATTCCGCAGAAGAAGATCGTCAGAGCTGAAACCGTGCTGTTCTCGGCGGAGGGCGAGTTCACGTCGGCTGACCTCGCAGACATGGAAATTGTTGAGGAATAAATAAAATAGGCACTGAGAATGCCTGCTTCGCTGTGTGACGTAAACTGCAGTAGCTTACATAGAGAGTGTGGATGAATAAAGAAGTGATCCGTGCTATATCCTGTTATTCCTCTTTTCGGCCCAATACTTTGATTCATGTTATCAGTGAAGATTGTGATCACAGTTGCCATCGTTCGGAAGCACGTAGTGTAATACGTTGTGCTAGAACCTGGAAGCCTGGAACCGAAGTTCCATACGGCGCGTGGTTTTACTATAGATAGTCAATAAACATGATTGTCGATCGTTGTTTCATTGCCCATCGACACCCGTCGAACGTTGCTTTCCGGCTGCTCCAATTCGGGGTGGATGGACAGCTTTCGCTGCAGCACGCAACAGCAAAACCAGTTAACGTATGTTACCGCCTCTCAATGATTGCACTCGAAATTTAAATTGCCCATAATATGACGCACACTTCCTTGGAATGTGTTCCTTAAATTTGGGATGAACCCCGGCTAGCGGTTTCCGAATAAATTCATTATACTAGTAGGTGGTGGTAGAACGAAAGCCACGCACTTGAATCCTATGCCACAAGAGGCTGGCAAACCATCTCTACTCGGCAAACTAACCTGTGATTGGATGGTTAGAGGGACAGTGGTATCCCCAGCAATCAGGGTTCAAGTCCTGGTGCTCGTATTAGGTCTCTATGGTGACTTTGTAAATTTCAAGATGACATGCCGGCTTAGCCTCTCGGATGTGCTCATAGGGATAGGGTATGCGTGTGTGCATTCACGCCTATGGTGATTTCGTAAATTTCAAGATGACATGCCGGCTTAGTCTCTCGGATGTGCTCATAAGGGTAGGGTGTGCGTGTGTGCATTCATAGGGGTGAGTGTATGTGCGTATGTATGAGCGCTTGCGTTGTTAAGGGTGACATGTCATCACATTGTTGTTGCTAATCCTCGCTTGATCCAAATCTTAATTCAAATTAAAATCCAAAATTCAAGTTTCTCAGACATGCAAAATAAAATGTTTAAAGTATGGCAAATATTCCATAACTAATTATGGTGGTGACCCAACACTTTTTTAAAGTGTTTAAATCCCCTTTTGTGAATATAACAGTGGCTTAAACAATCATTTAAATGCCTTTTCATTTATGAAAAATTTCAAACAAACTCGAAAGCCTCCCAAACTTTTTGTGGCAGTGCTAGTAAATGCAAGGTATTTATCTGGCCAAGTCCCATTTAAAAAAAATACATTTCCTAGCTAAAAGAAATGCAAAAAAGAAAAGAATAAATGTAAAACTAAAAAGTAAAGGTAGACAAAACAAAATAAAGAAAGGAGGTCTAACCCCCACTGCTGTCCCTCCAGCCAAACCAGCCCATCCGGCTACCCTCCCAATCCCCTGTTCACGCAGTCCCCCGTGGCCACGGCCGATGCCTGACACGGCACTGGCCGACGTCGTGGCGACCATCCACCGGTGCCGCCCTGCCAATATTACCCGGCGACCCCTCTCCCGTCGCCGAACCCTAACCCGCTTTCCCTTCATCGCGCCCCCGTTCCCCTTTGTTCGCTCGTCGACGTCTCAGCGCCCCGATCCCGTCCGTCACCGCCGCCGTCACGTCGCCGCGGCCAACGGCCTCCCCGGGGCTCGACGGGTTGTTCTACGGCCTCCCCGGCGTCGTCCCCGTCCTCTATG